AGATATTAAGAAGAGGTGTCAAGAATACACAGAGGAACTATACAAAAAAGATCTTCATGACCCAGATAACCTTGATGGTGTGATCACTCTCCAAGAGCCAGACATGCTGGAATGTGAAATCAAGTAGGTCTTAGGAAGCATCACTACGAACAAAGCTAGAGGAGGTGATGGAATTCCCATTGAGCTATTTCAAATTCTCAGAGATGATGCTCTGAAAGTGCTGCACTCAGTGTGCCAGCAAATTTGGAAAGCTCAGCAGTGGCTGCAGGACTGGAAAAGGTCAATTTTCATGCCAATCCCAAAGAAAAACAACGCCAAAGAATGTTCAAACTACTGCACAACTACACTCATCTCACACGCTAGCAAAGTAATGCTCAGAATTCTGCAAGCTAGACATCAAAAAACTACATGAACTGTGAACTTCCAGATGTTCAAGCTGGATTTAGAAAAGGCAGAGGAACCAGACATCAAATTGCCAACATCTGCTGGATCATCGAAAAAGCAAGAGAATTCCAGAAAAAATGTCTGCTTCCACTTATTGATACGCCAAAGCCTTTGACTGTGTGGATCACAGCAAACTGTGGAAAATTCTTCAAGAGATGGCAATACCAGACCACCTGACCTGCCTCCTGAGAAATCTGTATGCAGGTCAAGAAGCAACAGTCAGAACCAGACATGGAACAACAGGCTGGTTCCAAATTGAAAAAGGAGTACATCAAGGCTGTATATTGTCACCCTGCTTATTTAACTTATATGCAGAGTACATCATGCAAAATGCTGAGCTGGATGAAGCACAGGCTGGAATCAAGATTGCCAGGAGAAATATCAATAACCTCAGAAATGCAGATGACACTACCCTCATGGCAGAAAGTGAAGAAGAACTAAAGAGCCTCTTAATGAAAGTGAAAGAGGAGAGTGAAGAAGCTGGCTTAAAACTCAACACTCAAAACTCAAAGATCATGACATTCAGCCCCATCACTTCATGGCAAATAGATGGGGTAACAGTGGAAACAGTGTCAGACTTTATTATTTTGGGCTCCAAAATCACTGCAGATGATGACGGCAGCCATGAAATTAAAAGACGCTTGCTCCTTGGAAGAAAAGCTATGACCAACCTAGACAGCATATTAAAAAGCAGAGACATTACTTTGCCAACAAAAGTCCGTAGTCAATGCTATGGTTTTCCCATTAGTCATATGTGAATGTGAGAGTTGGACCATATAGAAAGCTGAGCACTAAAGAATTGATACTTTTTTTTTTAATTGATAATTTTGAACTGTGGTGTTGAAGAAGACTTGAGAGTTCCTTGGACTGCAAGGATCAAAGCAGTCAATCCTAAAGGAAATCAGTCCTAAATATTCATTGGAAGGACTGATGCTGAAGCTGAAGCTCCAGTACTTTAGCCACCTGGTGTGAAGAACTGACTCATTGGAAAAGACCCTGATGCTGGGAATGATTGAAGGCAGGAGGAGGAGAGAACAGAGGATGAGATGGTTGGATGGCATCACCACCAACTCAGTGGACACGAGTTTGAGCAAGCTTCAGAAGTTGGTGATGGACAGGGAAGCCTGGTGTGCTGCAGTGCATGGGACCACAGAGTTGGGCATTACTGAGGGACTGAACTGAACTGATTATGCATGTGTGTTCAGTCATGTCAGTCTCTTTTTGACCCCTTGGACTGTAACCTGCCAGTCTCTGTCCGTGGTATTCTCCAGGCAAGAATACTGGAGTGGGTTGTCATTTCCTCCTCCAGGGGATCTTCCCAACCCAAGGATGGAACCCTCGTCTTCTTGCATCTCCGGCATTGGCAGGCGGATTCTTTTACCACTATGCCACCTGGGAAACCCACTGCCCATATGCTGTACTTGGAATGCATACCTTTAATTAGCACAATTCAGAAGCCTTTAAGTTATCTTTGACTCTTTGTCTCAAACCTCACAACCATCAACCACCTCTCTGAATATATATGTACATATTTATCAGAATCAGGCCTTACTGTGATTTTTATTTTTATATCCCTGATAGCTAATCATGTTGAATGTCTTTTTAGGTGCTTATTGGCCATTTGGTATATCTTCATTGGAAAAACATCTATTCAGATCCTTTGATCCTTTTAAAATTGAGTTTTCTTTTTAGTGTCTAGTTGTAACAATTCCTTGTGTATTCTGAATACTAGATTCTTACCAGATACATGATTTACAAATATTTTCTGTTATTCTTTGACTTATCTTTCTTTTTCAGGATAGCATTCTTTGAAGCATAACATTTCAAATTTTGGTGAAATCAGTTTATTTGCTTATGCTTTTGGTGTCATGTCTAAGAAGCCATTGCTTAAGGCAAAATTAAGATCTATACCTATATTTCCTTCTAAGTGTTTTATATTTTGAAGTCTTGAATTTGACTCCACCTTGAGTTAACTTCTGTGTATGATCTGAGATAGGGGTTTTGTTTCCTTCTTTTGTATGTGGATGTCCAGTTGTCCTAGCACCATTTCTTTAAGACATTTTTGCCCCCATTAAGTTGTCTTAGCACCCTTGTTGGAATCAATTGACTGTAAATTTGAAGATTTATTTCTGGACCCTCAGTTCTAGTTCTGTTCCATTCATTATGATAACTTCCTACATTGCTATGTGAAGTCTTTCCTGAGTCAGATGGTTTTCTTTGAGCTGTATTCGTCTTGCCCAGGCTGCATACTTATTAACTAGGATCCTTAGAGTAATAGTGATTTTCTGGAATGCTCTTTACTTGGGAAATGCTTTCTAGAAAAACACATTTTAAAACTTACCAGTTCTCTGCTTAATTGATATTTTCTTTGCCTTTGTGGAGTTGTAAAGGTCAAAATCTCTAAATCATGACTTTCTTTGTCTGTTTTCTTGACTCTGCTTGTAGCTTTCTGTTCTGAATTCATGTTTTCCTCCTAGGGAGCTCTTTTGAGCCCCCAGGGAATTTGAGAGTAAGATCACGTGAGTTACATGCATTTGAGCATAATCTGGACTTTCAGCACTGCATGGACTTTTACTATAATAAAGCCCAGCTTTGATCAAGTATATCCATAGTTGACTAGCATTCTGGCATGTGGCCTGAAGCTAATAGGGCCAGCTGGCAGTCTTCTTGTGACTTGAATACCATGCTGGACCACACAGGTACCTTTTCATCCCAGACTATTAATCTTAGAAGTTCACTTTCTAATCTTAGAAGTTGGAAACTCCTTTGGTGGAGCAGGAAAGTGGAAAATAAATTTCTTGTTGAGGCCGTGTAAAGATTGCCTTGAGTAGCTATAAAGTACAGGTAATTTAGTTTGTCAGCTTTTCCCAGTCAGTCAACCAGGTGGTCGTGAAACTCTAACCAGGCATGTATCCTCTCAAATCCTTAAACACAGATTTAACCTAATCGTTATTCAAGTACCTGTGTTATGTAAATACTAATCCACGTACTCACTCTCAAAATAACACTTTCCTGTTAGTTTAACAGTTATTATGCTCTAATTCCTTCAAGATACATAGCAGTTGGATAATAAATACATAATTTTTCTTCAGAATTGTAAAATAGAATACTCGGTTATTTTGTGCTTTCTACTGATTTGACAGATATCTGTACCCCTTCATTGTGCTAGGAAGCATGTGAAGTGTTACTTCTGTCAGTGTTTTGGGTGCCCTCATCATTCATATTGTATGTGAAATCTCACCTTTTTGATTGGCTTACGACCATCTTCTAGGTTTTCCTCCTGTGGGTTAGTCTTATGATTGGGCTTAGCCAAACATGTTAGCAGTCAAACTTTTATTTTTCCATTTATTCAATAAATGTTGGTAGAAAGCCTCCTCTTGAAACACTGTATGCTCTGGTAGTTGCTGATGATACAAAGATAGAGACCAACAGCCTCAGTCTCTACACATAAGATGATGTTGTTTCTAACTCTAGAATTGCAACAGACCATTCTTACATAAGACTGTGAGAATGTATATAGTCGTCCATTCATTAAACCAGAAAACCTGTAAGTGCCTACTACGTGCTATCACAGTTGGACTTGCAAAGATCAGGAACAGCTTTTGAGAGGATGTGATGGTTGAGCTGAGCTCTGGAGACGGTCAGCCAGGTGAAGGGATAGTGGGAAAGCCTTCCTGGCCAAGAGAGCACCGAGGCACAGAAAGGAGACTCCTATGGCAAGAAGGCAAGACAGGGACAGAACCAGACCTTGAGACGTTGTTCCTTGAGGTGGGACCTTGTGGGCCATGTTGAGAATTTTGCCCTCTGTCTTAAGAGCAGAAGGAAACCCCTGAAATGTTTGAACCAGAAGCCTCTTACACACAGCATGTGACTTAGTTCTTAATTGGACAAGGTTAGCTCTTACACAGATTTGATTTTGAGATAGAAAATGTTAAAACTTTTATGCTTCATCTTTTGCAGAGTGTGCTTTAGAATTACCTGCAGGACTTGCTAAAACAAATTTTGGGGCCCCACTCCCAGAGATTTTGTCGCTATGGCTGGTGTTCAAGAATGTGAACCTAGTAACACCGCAGAAGATGCTGCTGCTGCTGGTCCTACCCATGGACCAGATTTTGAATAGCAATTGTTAGAGCCATGGAACTAACTCACCTCTCTTTTCTTACTGTTTTCCACATGTGTAACCAGCAAAAGATCATTTTTAGTCATGTAATAACAAGAAACATTTTTTGTTTCAGGAGCTGTACAATATAGAAGCTACTTCCGGGCTATAAATTATACTTTTCCTGTGTACCATCCATGTGTATGATATGGGATTCTGTGAGGTGATATGGCAGTATTTAGTACTGGGTAGACATAGCCCCAGAAATCAGGATACTTAAAATCAGAAATAAATCGTGATTAGCAACAACTTTTTAAAAAGTTAAAGTACAACCTTGACAGCTGTTAAGATTTTGAAGTTTAAAACAATATGATTTGGGTTTGGAAAAACAGTTGGTGTTTCTGCAAGACTAAACCTACTTTTATTGAATCAGGGTTTTTTTTGCTTGTTTTTCTAGATCTAATTACTTGTTTAGACACTGCATCCAGTTTTTTGGAACCTGAGTTCAGGTATGACTATATTTGTGACTTTTTTCTTAAATGTCACTGTTCATCTACTTCATCCTCATCTTATGCACTTGATTATATAATGCACTTTGTATGACTCATAACCGTTGTTCTAAAACATCAATAAATCAGAGCTTATTTAAAGCCACTCAGTTGTCATGTTTAAATTTTGCTTTACTCGTAGCATGTGAATCTTCTCCACAGTGGAAATATAATTTGGATATAGTTTAAAAGTAGAACTAGTCAATCTTCAAAATCTAGTAAAAAACTCCTTGGAAAGATAGAAGAGCTGTTTATTTTTGCTCAGAAAGAGTTAGGTAGACAGTTCAGGCTATTAGAGGAGAATTCTGTGTTCTTAGCCCGGTGGCATTTTTACTGTCATTTCCCTGCATTACACCCCTGACTCTTGCCTGGACTAGGATGAACTCATAATTGGTTTCCCATTTCTAACCTTTGCTAGCTTCTTTCTGCCAGTCACATTCTGCCAGGTTATTTTCTAAAATCTGTTTTCTATCACTCCTCTGCTTTGGAATATTGTTTCAAAACTTACTATGACAAAACACCATCCCTATTCCTTAGCCCGGTTTTCAGGGTCCTTCACAAATAGTCTGTAGGCTATTTTTCTAGTCTTACATTGAAACGTCTCTGGATTATTTATACTGCTCTGAGCTCTCAGAACTTTTGTCTGGAATCACTTTACTCTTCGCTGCTTAGTAAATTCATTCTCATCTTCAAAGACCCATCTCACTTATTTCCCCCAGCTTGCTACTACTCCCCAAAGAAACTTCATTTTTTTTTTTAGCAATTTATTTTATTTTATTTTTTTTCCATTTATTTTTATTAGTTGGAGGCTAATTACTTTACATCATTGCAGTGGTTTTTGTCATACATTGACACGAATTAGCCATGGATTTACACGTATTCCCCATCCCGTTCCCCCCTCCCACCTCCCTCTCCGCCCGATAAAACTTCATTTTATCTTCAAGAGTGGGTTCATTTTATCTTCAAGAATGAGCCTCTCTGTGTGAGCTGGGGGCGCTCTTCAGCCCTCCAGGGGGATCCTGCTCAGCAGGGGTAATCCTGGTGTCAGGGTGTGGCGCGCAGCCCTCCCAGAGGGCCAGCCGTCTTCAAACCCCCCCACGCACCAGCTCCATCTTCACCGCCCAAGTGCACACTGCCATCCTCTCTTGCCTGGACTACCTAACAGTGTCTTATCCTCCACTCACGGTCCTTGACTCTCTTTTCTTTCCAGGAGCCAGAAGAACTTTAAAAAATAAATAAATAAATAAAGCACAATCAGGTTATGTGTAGACACCATTAAAATCCTTTAATGGCTTCCTCTTTTAGAAATATACCCCCAAGTCTCCTCCCCACCGACCCCCCAGCTTCTGTGTGATCTGACCCCTGGCTCCTGTTCCAGGCTTCTTTCTCAGCGCCCTCGGCCTGCATGGTTTGTCCTTGGTCCAGACCCACACGAGCCACCCTGCCCCAGGGATAGGCCGTTTCCTCTGGTTGGAGCGTGTGTCCCTGCTGTCTCCAGTGATGGTCCCCGGTTCCCTGCTGACGTTCGCTTCCTCAGAGCCCCATCCCCTGGCCGAGGCAGTTGCCAGAGCCCCACATATGAACACAGAAACTGGAGCCCAGCTGCCTTGGCACGGCTGTGTGACCTGGAAACACAGCTCTCCGGTGTCTTCATCTGTAAAATGAGGATAATGATGGTACCTAGCATGGAGGGTTTTTACGTGGATGACCTGAGTGTAACTCAGAATGCTGCCTGGCACATAGGGGGTTTGTCAAACGTTCATAATACTTCTGTGAAGTTAGAGTCCTTCTGATTATTTCACAGAGTACCTTTTCTTTACAGCAGAAACATAATCCTATTCTTTGGTTTCATGACGTATTGGCTTAATACTTAATACTTTTCCTACCATGGGCATATAAACCCAGAGAGGACTGCCACCATGTGTCTGGTTGACCTTCATGAACCCCACCCCTTGCACAGCCCAGCACTTGACAAACAGTGTTAGAGACATACATACATGTAAATATGTGGAGTGTGTAGATGGATGAGTGAGTAAGTGAATGAATGCCAAACATTTTTTTAAAATCACCTTAAATTTGATCAATAGAGGATGGGTGAAACAAATTATAGTTCATCCACAAAATCAAGTATTATGTAGCTACTAAGTATTTTGAATTGCTTTTACAGCAGAAATATGTCTGCCATTCATCATGAAATAAAATAATCAAATCACCATGTAGAATATGAGGTGATTTTTGTATATATGTAGGTGAAGACAGGTGTAGATGGATGGAAGAAAGTCTTAAGGACCTTTTAGAAGTGGTGGTTCTCTCAGGGTGGTGAGATTGTGGTATTTACATTGAACTAAAAAAGGGTAAGTTATTTTTTGGTTTTTTCCCCAGAAAGTAGAGCAATGTATACCGTTTAACTTGTTTTTATTTCACAGCAAGTATTGCCCAGCTGGTTGTCTGCTCCCGTTTGCTGAGGTGTCAGGAGCCATCCCTCATGGATACAGAGATGTAAGTTGGCTGTAGACTTAAGTTAAAGTGATGCCAAAACTTCTCATAGACAGGTGTCTAACCTATTGTTTATCTTTATTGTGACTTTTATTTTCTGACAATTACTTCTTTTTAGTAATACGTAATGTTTTGTTCTTTTTCTTCTGCTACAAATCAGTTCTATGTTGTACTACCAGTCATCTACCCTATCTTTATTAAGAAAACTGCCCAGATCAAATAATTTCTAGAGGAAGTGTAAGTGTCTTGTTTATGAATTATCAAAAGAAAATGTGGACCTCATCTTGTCTCTTCCCTTCCTGAAGTCCTCCCCGTTGTGCATGGCCGGTGTGCATGCAGGCGTCGTGTCGAACACTTTGGGCGGCCAGATCAGCGTCGTAATCAGTAAGGGCATCCCGTACTATGAAAGCTCCCTGGCTAACAACGTAACGTCCGTGGTGTAAGTACATGCGCTGTTTATAATAAATGTGCTGCGTGGGGTGGGCTACCAGCGTGCAGTATCGCTGGTGATGGTGTTCATGAGATACCGCTTGTGCGATAAGGACTCATGAGTGTGTCCGATGTCTGAGTGCGCTGAGGAGCACAGCCAGGGTCGTGCCCTCTCGGCTTGTTCTCCAGCTGACATGGCGGTTGTCATTTGTGGGGAGTAATTTGCTTCTTCTTTCTGAGTGTAGAAAGAGCCCGGAATGAGCCTGGAAGTTTATGGCCAAATCTTTACTTCATTTTAAAGATGAGAAGGCATAACTACCCACCCTGTTCCAGATGCCTGTGTGGCCCAAGATGGATTAAGATAATTAAAATACGCTGAATAGAAGTCAAATTTTGACATAAATCAGAGATAGTACTATTATGAATCCCTGCCATCCCGAGAGAATATTGTAGGAATGTGTTTTCATTGTATTTATGATCTACTGTTTCACAAAATCTAAGCGAGGTATCCACAGTGGGAGGAGTTGAAACCCCGAGTAGAAACATAGTGTGGGTGATCTGTCTGTAAACCTTACATCTCGGACATGCCCGGTCCTGCAGTATAATTGAAACCAGCTTCTCTTTAGGTCCTAGGCCAGTTTCCTTCAGAAGCCCGGAGCTCCACACTCAGGACAGTGGAGAGTTTTACTGTAGAAAGCCAGTATCTCTGTTGCTTACTCTTTTTCATTTTATTTACAACTTTTTAACCATGTAAAAACCATTCTAAGCTTTCTGATCACACAAAGCAGGTGACACCTGGACTGTCATTGGTCCATCCCTGCTATAGATAGAGTCAGCTACCTTTTCCCCTCTGGTTTCTTCTGGATGATTTTATGCAAGTTGTTTCATTACTTTCCTCTGTTCTACTTTTAGAAAGAATTTTTTTTTCATGAGTTCTTTCTTTTTTTTTTTTCTTTTTAATAAAGGGCAAGTCGCATCCACTTGTAATGGTTTGAATGTTGTGCTGAAGGCAGACGTATACACTGCTGATTTAGATGGTTTTATCCCTCCAAGTTCCTCAGGGCCCCTTGACCTGCCATGTGGTGAACTAATCACTTGTCCCACCCATGTGCTCTCCCCAGGCACCTATCCTGCCCGTTACAAAACCCAAATGCAATGCTACCTTGTATCTCTAAAACATTGATTTCCTATAACAAATGCAGTCTCTTCTTAGTAGTCAGCTTTTCTTCTGTTTGCCCCTGAAAGCTTGAGCCTCTTTCTCCAAGAAGATCACCTTTTTTATAGTCCCCAAAAGCAATTGCTATAGAAACATTTTAGAAATATGTTAATCTCATGAGAAAGAAATTGAATACGTACTTATTAAAGGTTGCATGGATACATTTGCATAATCATGTATAAAACTAGGCACTAGATACTTGAAGACAAAATTATTTATGCTGATTTCAGAAGTTGTTCTGCTTAATTAGAAATGTGACTTCTTTTTTGCTAGGAACAATAGCAGTTGTCTAATATATAGCCATAGACTATTCTTAGTAAAATAAAAACAAAGTTTTGCTAAGACAAATATGAGGAAGTCATGTGTTATATGAATGTCACCAAAAAAATCTTTCTCTCTTTCAGGGGACACTTATCTACAAGTCTTTTTACATTTAAGACAAGTGGTAAGCCTCTCATGGACTTCATAACTTATTATGATTTATATAATAGCCATTATTTTTTGAACACCGTATGTTAGGCACTTTGCCAGTTTCTAGGTTTTGTTTTTTGTTGTGATGGTTTCTTTGTTTTTTTGGGGGTTTTTTTGCACTTCCTCATTTAGTACCACAAATAACTCTAGGAGAGAAAATAGATTGTAGTTGTTGTTTAGTCACCCAGTCGTGTCCAGCTCTTTGTGACCCCAGGGACCGGAGCACACCAGGTTTCCCTGGCCTCCACTGTCTCCCACAGATTGCTCACACTCCTGTCCATTGAGTTGGGGGTGCCATCCAACCATCCCATCCTCTGTCACTCACTTCTGCCTTCGATCTTCTCCTGCATCAGGGTCTTTTCCAGTGGGTCAGTTCTTCGCATCAGGTGGCCATATTATTGGAGCTTCAGCATCAGTCCTTCCCATGAATATTCAGGGTTGATTTCCTTTAGGATAAAATAGATACTTAATAATTTAATGAATAGAATAAACTGGAGATTTTATATTAAGAGAAATGATCAAGTGACCATGGAAGTTTCCTAAGTAAAAGGGATTTTTTTTTTTAATATGTCTGAAGAAATTAATTAATCAACAGAAAATAATGAGTGCCTTTTTCCATTTGTCAGACACTCTTCTGGTGCTAGTGAAACAAAAGTGAGCAGAATTTCCATTCTGGTAGTGAGATATGGACAATGGACAGTGGATAAGTGAATGGATGTTTACGATGTACTGTCTACAGCATTATAAAAGATGCAGGCAATACGGCAAGGAGCGAGGACAGGCAGTGCCGGAGGGACTGGTTGGGAGTTTAAAGTGGGTTGGGGCCGGCCCATGGAGAAGGTGACATCTGAGCAGCACCTGGAGGAGGTCGGGGAGCCTGTTGCCCGCTGAGGAAGGCGTCCCAGGGAGAGGGCGAGGTGTCGCCAGTGACTAGTGGTCATTGCTGTGAATGGGCTTCTCAGGGGGCTCAGTGGCGAATAATCCGCCTGCCCATGCAGGAGATATAGGAGATGCAGGTTCAACCCCGGGTCAGGGAGAACCTCTGGAGGAGGAGACAGCAACCCACTCCCGCATTCTTGCCTGGAGAATTCCATGGACAGAGGAGCCTGGCAGGCTACAGTCCACGGAGTAGCAAAGAGTCAGACACAGCTGAGCACACTCACATGCATTGCTATGAATAAATACGTCTGTGTGTTCTCTGATGAAACACACAGACAGACCCAGGAAGCATTTGCCTGCTTTTGAAATCCTCTAGTATGGGCTATTGTCAGCACAGCAAATGTTAATTAAAGGTACAATTCAGAGTTTCCAATGAATAAGTATTTATAGCTTTTTGAGTTTATGTCTGGCGACTGAATTACTTTCTTCTGTGTTTCAGGTTGTTATGGAACACTGGGCATGGAATCTGGCGTGATCGCTGATGCTCAGATAACAGCATCCTCTGTGCTGGAGTGGACGGACCACACAGGACACGAGAACAGCTGGAAACCCGAAAAGGCCAGGCTGAAAAAACCGGGACCTCCCTGGGCTGCTTTTGCCACTGATGAGTATCAGTGGTTGCAAGTAGATCTGAATAAGGAAAAGAAGATCACAGGTAAAAGAGACAGAAGTTTCTAGATGATTTATAATGCTGATTTCATTTGAAAACCTGGTGACATGTAACAATTTCATAGAAAATTTGGTCACTGCCAATTTAATTATATGATTTTAAGTTTAGTTCTGGAGAAGGAAATGGCAACCCACGCCAGTATTCTTGCCTGGAGAATGCCACAGACACAGGAGCCTAGCATCCTACAGTCCGTGGTGTCACAGGAGTCGCACACAACTTAGCAACTAAACCACCACCAAGTTTAGTTTACTGGTATCAATATGACCGAAGAAGGTTTTATAAAGCATTGCAAAGGAGAGGAGTTAGTATTTGATTCTTATTAGTTTTTCTTTTCATTGTAGTAAGTTTTTTTTTAGGGTAGTGCTAGAGTAAAGGGATCTTGAGGCATCTGAAATAACCATCTCCTACAGTCATTAAGTGGAGAAGGAAACGGCAACCCACTGCAGTGTTCTTGCCTGGAGAATCCCAGGGACAGAGGAGCCTGGGGAGCTACAGTCCCTGGGGTCGCAGAGAGTTAGTGACTAAACTGCAACAACAGTCATTAAGAGAAGTTTGTGTTCAATGAGTCCATTTTAAGTGCTGCAAATAATATCCCACATGTATAAGAATATCCCACGAGTATAAACTTAATTATTTAGAGCAACTTAACAAATGGCCAGAATAGTTGGTTAGGATTACTTTAGATAATTTTGTTAAAATTTATTTTGCTTTGGTACTAAAAATAATGCCAATAATCTTTATTCATTCCCAGGAAGTCATTCTCTTTCAGTAAGTGAGCAGTATTTTGCAGTGACATGAATACAGGCTGCCAAAATACAATAGTCCTTTCCTTATATGTGGTCATAATTCTTCCTGTCCCTCCAAGGGAATGAAGCCAAGAGCAGTTCCTATTAGGATGAAACCTTGCACTTAGGTATGGTCCTGTGCCATAGACAAAACTGTTTGAACAGTACATGTCAGGTGTTAATGCCTCAGTGATGAACAAACTTCAAGGATCCGACTGTGAGCTCTAATGAATGACCTTCCTGTTCCTAGGCATTGTGACTACTGGCTCCACCATGGTGGAGCACAATTACTACGTGTCGGCCTACAAGATTTTATACAGTGCTGATGGGCAGAGGTGGACTGTGTACAGAGAGCCCGGTGTGGACCAGGATAAGGTAAAATGCTCACTGAAATATTTCTAAAGAGCATTTTTAAAAGTGGGTGATGGCTAGGTGTGGCCTCGGCAGTAAGCCACAGAAGCTCTTCCTGTGATACTAAAAATTAAATATCATTTGGTTTTGCTCTGCCCCCTCCTGGTTATTTTAGGTAGTGTTGGTTACTGGGCTTCCCTGGTGGCTCAGATGGTCAGGAACGCACCTACTGTGCGGGAGACCTGAGTTTGATCTCTGGCTTGGGAAGATGCCCTGGAGGAGGGCGTAGGAATCCCCTCAGTATTCTTGCCTGGAGAATGGAGGGCTATAGTCCATAGGGTCACAAAGAGTCGGACACGATTGAAGGACTAAGCATCGTGCACACAGTTATTGGCCTTGCCCTTCTAACGTGGTTAGGAAATTCTCAGGGCTTCTGGGTCCTTTTTGATGGTTGTAAGGGTAAGTACTTTTCTTGATTTCTTTTTCCAGTATTAATTAAACTGTTTAAATAATTCATGAATTATTTACTATAATTAATTAATTTCTTATCTTTAAAAAACTTTTCTTAATCAATCCACAGAATGGTGGAGATCCTACTTTGTTCCTAGATTTCTGCTCTCTAGGCAAGTTGAGGGGGGCGCAGAGGATAAGGCAGAAGGGTGTTAAATTATAGGGTATTATAGAAAGATCATTTCAAGATCACCTCACCAACATTTGTTGTAAAAAAACAACTATTTTTTTTCCTACCTGGAGAATTTCCCTATCTTATTTTTCAGTTAGCCAAAAAATGACAGTGCTGTAATGTGCCAGAACAGAGGCTGAGGGGCAGAGAGTGGCAGAGGTGGCCCTCAGCCGGAGGCCAGTGTCTTTCACCTGGACTCCCGGTCTTGATCCACCCACCGCAAGGGGTCCCTGTCCCCAGGGACGGTGGATGCCTCTCATTTGGAATTGAATTATGAGCACATTTTTTCAGTGAAACCTCCTTGTGAGTTTTGTTTTGATTTTATGATACTATCAGTTCTCTGTCATATATATGGTATGCTAATATTTTCACTTGCCACTTATCTCTCTGTTCAAAAAAACTCCAGGGGTTCCTTTTAGTCTTTCATCTGGATCTAAACTCTTCAGCTGTTATTCAAGGCCTTCCTTCTTCTCTCCTACTCGATATCACATGACCTTCACCTTTAATGAACTTCCACCCCTTGAAGCAAATAACAGTATTGTCTCTGTATGTAACTTATTTCTGCTTACTGCCCCCAAACTTGACTGCTTTTTACTATTAGCACATCTATATTTATTTGTATAGTAATACTTGTTATACTTGTGGAATAATTTTTATAATCATAAGTATTATCAGTGCTTATATTTTGAAAACATCTTAAATTTCTGAAAAAATATTTTTGGCTTCTTTTTGAAAGATAATTTCACTGAGTTTAGACTTCAAGGTTGGGACTTCCCACGTGGCTCAGTGGTAAAGAATCTACCTGCCAGTGGAGGAGACGCAGGATACATCCGTTCAATTCCTGGGTCGGGAAGATCCCTGTAGTAGGAAATGGCAACCTACTCCAGTATTCTTGCCTGGGAAAGCCCATGGACAGAGGAGCCTGGTGGGCTATAGTCCATGGGGTGGCAAAGAGTTGGACATGAGTTAGTGACTAAACCCCCACCTATAGGGTCAGAGTTCTTACCTGTAAAATGAGGAAGGGATCTGGCTTATCAGTTCTGATCTGCTTTTCTGCTGTGACACACACAGCTATTCTGGGATGCAGTTAGGTTACTTGGAAATCATGTGATCTTTTCAAGGCTTACATTTTTGTGTTGTTAGGCAAGACCTGAGCAGCTTTAGTTCTCATCTCTCCCGACTACTGAGACAGTATTGTTCTAAGAACTCAACCCAGTATCCTTGGTCTGTGAGGCTTCCCCACTTTCTGCTGGCAGAGAAATGGGACCTGTGTTTATACAGTTTCTCCAGTAGGTGGAGATATATATCCCTATGTGTTTATTTTTATTGAGAGAAAAATTATGAAAAGTACACAGTAAAGCATTTCCTGTAAGACCTCAAATGTTCAATTTTGCTTTACTTTAAAAATAAATTTATTTAAATAGCTGATGATTCCATAGGAATTATTAATACAATATACTGTGCACTGCAATTAAAACCTTCTCCTCAAATTACCATTAGAACTTTTATTATGTTTAAGTCATTTAAAATGATTTTTATATTCAGTATTTCCTTTTCTGAAATTTTTATGAAGAATGTGCAGCTTCTTAATAGTTTTTCCAAATTATGATTTTTTATTTTCATACAAATTAATGCTTATTGTCATACTTTGCAGAGCTCATTTAAGGCCCAGAGCAAAACCCAAAAACATGTTTCAGTGGAGCAGTTTAGCCCTGGCCTCTGTTGATGTAAAGTACCAATTTTTTGTTGTTTTTTAAAGATATTTCAAGGAAACAAAGATTATCACCAGGATGTGCGTAATAACTTTTTGCCACCAATTATTGCACGTTTTATTAGAGTGAATCCTACCCAATGGCAGCAGAAAATTGCCATGAAAATGGAACTGCTTGGATGTCAGTTTATTCCTAAAGGTAATTCAACAATATGTTTAAGGCATCTTGTTTTCACTGCATTAATTAAAAATGACTTTGCTGTTCTCTGAGAAACTAATAATAATGTGCTTATCCTGTAGTTATCATATCTTCTTAAAGGGATTTTCAAGAAGAAATGGTTATCCTTATTAACTATCAGATATCAAACTGGCTTCTAAAATTACAGGTGGAAGAAGAAAGAGCATCACTGATGAGACAAAGCAAAGATCTGGATTTCCAAATGTAATCTCAGCCTTAATCATTTATAGTCAGGTCTCACATAGTAGAATGCTTCTATCCTTTAAGCACTGATGATTGTAACAGTCATCTTAACCTGAGTACATTTTACTTTGAATAAATTAAAAGTAGGAATAACTTCCATCAAAATTATGTAATATTTTAATACTTTGTTTACTGTTATATTCCCTGAAACTACCATAGTGCCTGACACATAGTAGGCCCTCCATAAATATTTATTAAATGAGTTGAATGAGTAATAAGTATATATATATAGTGACAACATTTTTATAGCTTTATCCTTTCAACATCCTCTATCCTTTCAATATCATCTCCTTCTTAAGAAGATTCTTTTCAGACAATTTGGTTATTTAAAAACTCAGAAATCTCAGTATATTTGTGCATTTACTGCAGATTACATTTATCATGATGACATCTTTCTCTGAGATTTAAAGTTACTGTGTAAAACTAAGTGCTGTGGGAAATGTTAAACACATTTAAGATTGCTATTTTTTTAACTATGATTTTTATAAGCAAAATGTAGAAACTTTTCTAAACCATTTTTCAAGGTCGTCCTCCAAAACTTACTCAACCTCCACCTCCTCGGAGCAGCAATGACCTCAGAAATACTACAACCCCTCCAAAAATAGCCAAAGGTATGCCTCCTTTAAAAGTGAGCATTCAGTATTCCCTAGTTTTGTGGTATAATTTTCAATAAGTATCTTGAAAGCATTATAAAGTAACCATTTTAATCAAGTTGGTGTAGATAAAAGAATAAAGAGTTTTTAAAATTTTTTTCAAGGTCGTGCCCCCAAATTTACTCAACCACTACAACCTCGAAGTAGCAATGAATTTCCTTCACAGACAGAGCAGACAACTGCCACTCCTGAAATCAAAAATACTACCGTAACTCCAAATGTGACCAAAGGTATGCAAACCCAAAAATCAATACCTGTTTATAGGATTGAATTTTTTTGTTTTTAACAAGTTTTCAGGAACATCTCCAGCTTTTAAACCCTCAAGGTTTTCCCCCCTTTTTTTAAGTATAGCAAAAAGTTCAACTCCATACCTTATAGAAAACTGGCTGCATTGCTAAGTTCTGTTATCTGTTACAATGTAAAATGATTTCTTAAATATTTAGAGATGGCTGCTGTATTCTAGGCTTCCTTTTGTGATTTTTTTCCCCCTTCTATAGCTAAATACGTGGAGCCTCAGCCTTAGAAAGAAAATTTTTCTAGAAATAACTAAAACCATAGCAAGAAGCAAACTTTTTCTGATTATATATTAATTTTTTAGATAGGGATTTGGTAGCAAAAAGGGAAGAAGAAAAATAACAAAAGGTTTGGTGAAAATTAGCATACTTTTAAAAAAAAAAAAGATACTCTTAACATTTATCAAATGTTAAATTTAATGTTAAATTTTTAAAATTTGGTCTCTGTTTTTTAAATGTTTATAGTTAATTTTCAGATGACACTTTTCCAATTTACTTTCAAGCTTGTTATTTATTATTGTTATATAAAATGTTAACATATATAAACATACTAGTTTTTTATTTTACTACTTGAAAACAAAATTTCAGTTGAATTCAGGAACAAAAGCATCAGTGCCATCAAGGAATTAACTTCAGTGTTGACAGATGAAAAGCACACTAATTTTCAGGGCAATGCAGAGAAGAGAAAGCATCCATTCAGAGTAACTTAATAAAATTTTAATCATTCTCATTTTCTGAAAATTTGTCTGGATTCAGATAGCTTTCTACAACTTTCCACATCAGTTTCCTTCGTATCTTCTAAAATATTCCCAAGGAGACCTGTGTCTTTCTCATGCTGCAGGAAAGGCTAGTGTTGATTGAAAAAAAAAAAAAAACAAAACTTAGAGCCTGAAAGTTGAGAATTGTGTTTTAGCCAGGTTCTTACTGAGGATTGTAGTCTGGGATACAGCCTCTCAGATAGCTCTGTGAAACTGTTTTAAAGACATAAGGGAGGAGCTGGGATATGCTGGGGAAAAAAGATAAAAAAAAAACGACATCTAAAGTTAATGATTTTAATGCTTTTCTATGTAGGGGAAGATGCAAGAGTCTGAGCTCACTGAAATTATTCATTAATATGTATCTTGACTGTTTAGAGTCAGTATTCTGTTTTTCTCCATCCTGAACTCCTCTCGGGGTACATGGTCATGGGTGGGGGTCGTGGCTGAGAACTTGAGGCAACACTGATTCCTGAAATGGCAGGCAACATTTATTTTGTCCACTTTAGAAAGAAGCAAGAGTTGACAGAGACAAGAAATTTCAGCATCCCACAAAGAGCTTCAATTTACAAAAAGCATGCGTTTGGGTGGGATCCCAGACCACATACCATGTGGAAGAGCAGTCATTTTAAAGTGTTGCTCATCTTAAAATCTGATTATAGAATTTTAAAGTCTTAGGACTAAAAGTGTTCTTAAAGCATTTTATTCTGGAACTAGGATCCATGTAATCTTTAAAAGACTAACAAAGAGCGTACAGGTCTTTTTGATTGAAGACCTCCCTGTCTCCTTTTCTTTGAAATAGTACTGTATAGAATTTATTATTTTTTGAACCTAAGCATATATTGTATTAATAATACCTCTGATTAAGTCAAACAGTATCCATCTGAACCTGACTATTTTCTCTACAGTTTCACACATTTTAGGGATAAAGCACTTTTGCTTTTCTAATTTCTTAGTCCTTTCTATCCTGAGTCACTGTTTCTGTTGGATGCCCTTCTCCTTACATCCAGTCTAAGGGTGATGCTGGTGAAAATCACATCATGGCCAGATTTGTGATGCTCTAACATCAGGGTCCTCCCTCAGTACCAGCTGGTGGTCTTTCTGTTTCCCTGGTTAGTTCTTCTGTCTGTTCCCAACAGTAGCTCTTAGACACATTCTCTGTATTTTTCAAACCCTTGGCCCAGAGGTCCTCACTCACTCTTTCAGCTTCACAAAGTAGAAGCCATTTGAAGGGCACTTCAGTGGAAGCTTTTTCTGAAACCTGCATACTCATCTATTTCCCATCCATCCTACTTTCTCGGAGGCCTGTGTTCTGGATTATCCGCTCCCTTCCTGAATCTTCAGGCTCACTCTTTCTTTGGGCTGTGACGATATGGAGTAAAGGAGATGCAGGTCTGGAGCTTCCCGCCCAGCAAGTAGCAGCCGCTGTCGCTGTTGCCACCGTCATGGCCAGGAGGAGGTTAAGGAGTGGAGGGAGAAACCAGCTTCCCAGATGACCTTCGCTCTCGTTCAGTCGGCCAGGCATTTCTGACTCTCTGCGGCCCCAAGGTCTGCAGCCTGCCAGGCTTCCCTGTCCTTCACTATCTCCCGGAGTTGGCTCAAACCCATGTTTGCTGAGTCGGTGATGCCACCCAACCATCTCATCCTCTGTCGTCCCCTCCTTCTCCTGCCCTCAGTCTCTCCCAGCATCAGGGTCTTTTCCAATGAGTCAGCTCTTCACATCAGGTGGCCAAAGTATTGGAGCTTCAGGTTCAGCATCAGTCCTTCCAGTGAATATTCAGGGTTGATTTCCTTTATGATTGACTGGTTCAATCTCCTTGATTCTTGATCTCCAAGGGACTCTCAAGAATTTTCTCCAGGACCACAATTCAAAAGCATCAACTCTTCAGTGCTCAGCCTTCTTTATGGTCCAACTCTCAACATCCATACATGACTACTGGGAAAACCATAGCTTTGACTATCAAACCTTTGTCAAGAAAGTGATGTCTCTGCTTTTTAATATGCTATCTAGTTTTGTCATAACTTTGCTTCCAAGGAGCAAGCATCTTTTAATTTTGTAGCTGCACTCACTGTTCACAGTAATTTTGGAGCCCAAGAAATAAAATCTGCCACTGTTTCCATTGTTTCCCCATCTATTTGCCATGAAGTGATGGGACCAGATGCCTTGCATCATCTTATTCGTTTTTTGAACACTGAGTTTTAAGCCAGATTTTTCACTCTCCTATTCCATCTTCATCAAGAGGCTCTTTAGTTCCTTTTTGCTTTCTGCCATAAGGGTGGTGTCGTCTGCATATCTGAGGTTGTTATTTCTCCTATTAATCTTGATTCCAGCTTGTGATTCATCCAACCCAGCGTTTTGCATGATGTACTCTGCATATAGGTTAAATAAGCAGGGTGACAATATATAGCCTTGACATACTCCTTTCCCAGTTTTGAACCAGATGACCTTGTTGTTCAGTTGCCCAGTCATGTCCAACTCTTTGTGACTCCATAGACTGCAGCACGCCAGGCCTCCCTGTCCCTCACCATCTCCCAGAGTTTGCCCAAGTTCATGTTCACCATCTCATCCTCTGATGCCTTCTTCTGCCCTCAGTCTTCCCCAGCATCAGAAACTTTTCCAATGAGTCATGTGTTCACATCCGATGACCAATATACTGGAGCTTCAGCTTCAGTATCAGTCCTTCCAGTGAATATTCAAGGTTGATCTCTTAAGATTGACTGGTTTGATCTCCTTGCTGCCTGCAGGACTTTCAGGAGTCTTCTCCACCACCAGTTTGAAGGCGTCAATTCTTTGGCATTCTGCTTTCTTTACGGTCCAGCTCTCAAAACTGTACCTGACCACTGGGAAGACCATGGCCTTGACTATATGGACCTTTGTCGGCAGAGTAATGTGTCTGCTCTTCAACACACTGTCTAGGTTTGTCATCATTTTCCTGCCAAGAAGCAATTGTCTTCTGATTTCATAGCTGGACTCACCGTCTGCAGTGATTTTGGAGCCCAAGATGAGGAAATCTGTCACTATTTCTACCTTTTCCCCTTCTGTTTGCCATGTAGTAATGGGGCCAGACATCATGATCTTATTTTTTTTTTTAATATTTAGTCTTAAGCTGGCTCTTTCACTCTCCTCCTTCACCCTTATCAAGGGGCTCTTTAGTTCCTCTTTGCTTTTTGCCATTAGAGTGGTATCATGTGCTTATCATGAGGTTGTTGATGTTTCTCCTGCCTGTTTTGGTTTCAGCTTGTCACTCATCCAGCCTGGCATTTCTCATGATGTCCTCAGTGTATAGCTTAAACAAACAGGGCAACAGCAGACAGCCCTGTTCTACTCCTTTCTTGATCTTTAACCAATCAGTTGTTCCATACAGATGACCTTAAGCAGGCCATTTTCTACCCAGGATTCCTTATCTATAGAGTGAGGTCACTTAATCCCCTTATTTAGTGATAAGTGATTAAGTGATCTCCAAGTTCCCGAAGGCTCCAGCATTGTGTTGGTTTCTGCCTTGTTCATACGTGAATTTGGTTTCAATACTTAATACTATATGCAGAGTACATCATGTGAAATGCCAGTCTGGATGAATCACAAGCTGGAATCAAGATTGCCAGGAGAAATATCAATAACCTCAGAAATGCAGATGACACCACCCTTATGGCAGAAAGCAAAGAGAAAAAGCCTCTTGATGAAGGTGAAAGAGGAGGGTAAAAAAGCTGGCTTAAAACTCAGCATTCAAAAAATGAAGATCATGGCATCTGGTCACATCACTTCATGGCACATAGATGGGGAAACAGTGGAAGCAGTGATAGACTTTATTTTCAGGGGCTCCAAAATCACTGTGGATGGTGACTGCAGCCATGAAATTAAAAGATGTTTGCTCCTTGGAAGAAACACAATGACAAACCTAGACAGTGTTTTAAAAAACAGAGACGTTACTTTGCCTACAAAGATGTGTATAGTCAAAGCTATGGTTTTTCCAGTAGACATGTACAGCTGTGAGAGCTGGACAGTAAAAGGCTAAGTGCCAAAGAATTGATGCTTTTAAACTGTGGTGTTGGAGAAGACTCTCGAGAGTCCCTTGGACAGCAAGGAGATCCAACCAGTCAATCCTAAAGGACAAGAACCCTGAATATTCATTGGAAAGACTGATGCTGACACTCCAATACTTTGGCCATCTGATATAAAGAGCCAACTCACTGGAAAAGACCCTGATGCTGGGAAAGATTGGAGGCAAGAGGAGAAATGGGGGACAGCGGATGAGATGGTTGGATGGCATCACCGACTCAATGGCCATGAGTTTGAACAAGCTCCAGGAGATGGTGAAGAACAGGGAAGCCTGGTGGGCTGCAGTCCATGGGGTCACAAAGAGTGGGACACAACTTAGCAACTGAGCAACAGTCACAACTTGGTACTATGGTGTTATCTTTTCACATCTGTGACTATTCTGCCGTCACTTCCAGTATCTAGGTAATATTTTATTATAAGGAGGATACGGTGATTTACTTCCTTCCCCTCACTGTTGAGCATTTGGATTACTTCCCGGTTTTCACTCTTCTGCAGATACAGTAGCAAAGATATTTAAAGGTACATCTTTGAATGCCACCATAATTTTCTCCTAAGAATCATTCTGCATAGAGAGTTGCCAAGTAACACCTTTTTATAAATTTTGCCCCCAAATGCCGATCAGAATGATAGTTATAGTCCCATCAAAATACCTGTTTCTTGAGACCCTCTTCAGCAATTAGCTGTTCTTTTAAATATTTGCCAGTTTGATAAGCAAAAATAGCATCTTATTCTTGTCTGAGCTCTACTTCTCTGGTTACTAGTGAGGTGAACATGTTTAATGCTCACTTTTTTTTTGTTTGTTCATTAAGTTTATTATTGTCTTTATCTTAAAAATTTTGATAGCACATTGTGGTTTGGTTTATTAACTCTCGGCAGCCTGTTCCTGAACGAAGGAAGCTGATCTTTCCTCTGAGCAAGTGACATTTTGGGACAGTTCCACCTCTTCTTTTTAACTTCTTTCTTAGGCATCTTCTCATACGCTGGATTTTCTTGTATTGCAGCGTGAGCTTTCTTATACATCTCCTCCATCATGTCTGGAGTTACATTGTCCTTTATGTACTGAGAGAATTGTTTCTTGTAAGCATCCTCATCTTCTTCAATCACGTAACGCATGTAATCTGCAGCATCCTGCTCAACGATATGCTCTCAGTGTACCTCAGCGTTGAATTCTTTGCCTCTTAATGCATTGCTTTTTCATCTCTGCTGACCTTTCTGTTTATTTTTTTACTGTAAATTCTGTAATAGATTAACTACTATTAACCTCTTATCACATATGCAGAAAATATTTCCCAGTTTATCATTTGTCTTTTAATCTGTCCTGGTGTTTTAAAAACATACAGTGGTGGAGCAAATAATGCAACAAATTTCCATGTATCTGTGAAATCTCTACAGTTACCACTTGTGCCCACTCTCATGGCCTAAATTATGGGGGTTTTTTTGAGCTAGAAAAACTTTGAATAGCGATACGGTTCATCTTTACTCTTCTCCTTGATGAGTCTTTCTTTGGTGTTAACACCTCTGTCTGTTTCTGTTTTTCAGATGTGGCCTTGGCCGCGGTCCTCGTCCCCGTGCTGGTCATGCTGCTCACGACTCTGATCCTCATACTAGTGTGTGCTTGGCATTGGAGAAACAGGTTAGTACAAAACCAGTTCACCTGGCCGGTCCTGGAGGGGATGTTTCCAAACGTGAAATGGAACTAAATATAGAGGATGAACCCTCTTGAGAGGAAGAGTTAAGGTGGCCATTGAAATAAAAAGATGTACATGTCTCCTTTATTCCTGTAGAAAATGAGTAACTTCAATTACTGAGTACCTTTATTATCTCAAACTCTGTGTTACACACTGGGTTACACACAGTAGTAAGGTATAGTAGATCCTGAGTAACATTTACTGAGAGAATGAAACGCCGTTCTTATCTCCAGATTGTCTGGCCGATTGAACAATATACTGTGGCTTGATGAGTTGTATGTGAAATGCAGAGGAACGCAGATGTAAGAACCTTGAGAGTTACCTGAAACCTTTTTCTCAGAAAAGAGTAATCCTCATATTTGACAAGTTTTCCCTTAAAGGGGGAGTTGATTTTAGCTAGCTAGAGGAAGAAAGAACGGCCCAGACTGAGTGCATGGCTCGGTAGAAGGCACGGAGATGTGGAGTGTAGGCAGAATAGTGAGCTGTCTCACATGGGCTTGGCGTGGGGGGGGCACTGGGAGACTCCTAGAGATGCAGCCTGGGTCTGGACCAGGAAGGGCTTTCTGTAGATGGGGAAGACATTGAGCAGTGTTCAGCGGGCAGGTGATATTATCAGATGACTGTAGGAAAATGGTGGCAGCAGTTTGTGAGGGTGGATTGAAGAGACAAGAGACTAGAAAAGACAGAGATGAGTTAGGAAACTGCTAAGGCCAGGCAAGAACATAACACAGCAGTTCTCGGAGATGGGGGAGACATGAGGCAGAGAGGCTTGCCAGTGGTGTCAGGGGGGGACTTGATGGGCTGCTTGCCAGAGGAGGAGGATCTAGGATTCACTCCCGCTTCCTGCTTGTGCAATTAGACCAGTAGGGATAGCATAGCCATGGGGACAGCTTTGGTGACTAACAGGTTTGGAAGGAGTTCATTTGTTCAGCCATTAAATATTTGCGCTCTGACTCTGTACCAAGTATGTCAGCCTTCTGGTGGGAGTCCTCTGGTGAGCCCCAAAGTCTGTCCAGTGGGAGAGAATACATTGCAAAGAACCATCCACCATGGAACCTGCTTGTCATAGGGTAGAGCTCTCAGGGCAGGTAGGAATCACAAAGATTGGAGTAGCCAGTATTCAATAAGTCACTGGGTTTATTACACGTAATTAGCACAGAACTCAGGTTGTGCAGAGTAGGGGGTGTTGGGTAACAAACCACTCCAAGGAGCAGTCTGGAAGGAGGCGTCTCGGCACCAGCAGCCGCAGTCTCTGGTCCAGCTGCAGGCCTTGGCCCCAGCAGGGCCACAGGCAGCGTCCATGTGCATGGGGTCAGGGCCTCCCGCCAGCAGCCTTCAGGTCACTCAGCTCAGTGGTCTCTTAAGGAGTAACCGGTCCCCCAGGGAGGAGGCCTGACTCCTTCGGTCTGTCTGTCTGTTCCTGTGCTGTGTACGGCCCATCAAACTTCTGAGCTAAAGTGATGTTCTCAGTTTACCGCTCTAAGACCCTGGCAGCCCCATAGCAGGTGTTTCAAAACAACTTAGAAGAGTTCACCTTGGCCACTGGGACTCCCACTTTGAACTAGTTAGCAAGTCGTGCGGGCTTCCCTGGTAGCTCAGTTGGTAAAGAATCTGCCTGTAATGCAGGAGATCTGGGTTCAGTTCCTAGACTGGGAAGATCCCCTGGAGGAAGGAATGGCAACCCACTCCAGTATGCTTGCCTGGAGAATACCACGGACAGAGGAGCCCGCTGGGCTACAGTCCATGCGGTCGCAAAGAGCGGGATACAGCCGAGCAACTAACGCACATACACACACACACACACACACACATCATAAATAGCTTAAATCCTGTTAAGTTTCACACAAGAGGAGTAGGGATCGTAACACAAATCTCATCAAAACAGGACTGACTGCAGTGTGCTCCGCGGGAGGAAGGACCCTGTCTGCGGGACTGACAGCTTAGCAAGGTCGGGGAGGATGAGGACGGGGAGGAGGGAACGGGCTCCGGAGGGCCCAGGAAGGGAAGCTCACGCTGCTGTCGGGCCAGCGGGCAGCAGCAATAGTGGTGGGGAGAATAGCACCAATGGCAATCTTTATACAGAGTGAGACGAAATGCGGACTGTGCACATCGTTCTAAATGCCTTACATGCTTAACTCATTTAACCAGTTTGTAAAGCAGGTATTGTTACAGATCCCATTTTACAGAAGAGGAAAGTGAGACAGAGGGAGCACAAGTAACTTGCCAAGGTCACCTGGTCAGCACATGGGAGGGTGGGGATTTGGTCCGGGCCTCTGACAGTCAGCCGATCAGGTCTACTCATCTGTGGTTAAAACCCTGGGCTGGGCGGTGAGGGACGGGGAGCAGAACTGTTGAGAGCCCGGAGGCAAGTCCTGAGATGAGTTTGGGATGGTATCTAGAGGACTCTGCGCACATTCAGACTCCAGAGAGGTAGATGGAACACGAGCCTGTTCAGGACAGAAGGTCTGAGCGGCAGAGTTAAGGTTACTTTTAAGAACTTAGTGGATGCAATTGCGGACAGCTGGCTTTGGGACAAGGAGCAAAGAGGAACCGCCGTTAAGGGGCTTACGGAAGATAGCCAGGAGAAAAGTAGTAACAAAAACAGCCGCCACTCACTGAATCCCTGACCCAGGCTGGGCACTGTTCTAAGTACTTTACATGGCATGAATAAACAACCTGAAGCTTTTTCATTTGAGATCAAGAATATGCAATCCTTTATAGTACAACCACTGGGCAACTTCAGCACCTACCTTCTTATCCACAAATTTTACACTATACTTACTTGAAGTAATGAAAGTATTATATTTTAAATACAGCTATACTTTTAAATGAGGAAGCTCTTAGTATCAATAATAAAAACACAGTCTTATACTGGAGAAGACTGTTTCCAAATAGGAAAGGCACATACCTTGGGCTCTTTGAGGAAGCCTCATTTGTGATGGTGAGCAAATCACATAACCCTCCTGAGCTCATTTATAATGATGGAACAGCTTCTTTCTCTTTAGCTTGCAGTGCGTTGCTTTAATTTGATTTACTTTCTTGAACCAGAAAATGTCCTTTCGTGTGCTTGATATTTTCCTCTGTAGATAGCAGTTCTTAATGCCGGGGAGAGACGAAAGTTTCTCCAGGGAAAGATATTCTGAATTCTGAGGAGCGGGCTGCGGAGAACCTTCTTCACAGCCTGCGTGGCCCTCAGCTCTGTCACTGTGCATGATGCTGTTGGCTTGTCCTGGGCAGGGTGGAGGAATCAGGTCTTCGCGGTTAAGGGTATGTGTGACAGTTTAAACTTCTCAGGTGCAAAGGACCGTAAGGAAAAAACAGTAAGCTGAGAAAATAACAACAATGCAGAAGAAACTGCGAGGGTTCTGGTCTTCTTGTCATCCTGTAAACTTGATGAAGCAGCAGATTTGTCAGATTTGTATTTGAAAGCAAAAGGAACCTAACAGGATTTCCCCATCTTAATCCACACATCAGGGTTGGGTCTTTGGTTTGATTCAGCTTTTTTATTTACAGAATCAGTGTTTTTTTTAAAAAAAAAAAATCTTTCTATGCATTTTGAGTGGGAAATAGTTGGGGAACCAAATAACTCTGTCAGCAGATAGTTGCTTAATATTTGTTGAGAGTCCAGAGTTCAGCCATGGCAACCTTGAAAGTCAAATGAAAAAGAGCTCTCCCCTGGGTAGATCAGCAAGTAGCAGTGTGTACTCTTGACTAATTATTAACTTTTGAGTGTTTATCCTACTGTTTCAGAGCATTCTTACTAGTGAATTCACTCTTATTTGCTTTTTTTTTTCCCCTGTATTTTTCCAGAAAGAAAAAAACGAAAGGCACCTATGACTTGCCATACTGGGACCGGGCAGGTAATTTACAGCTTCGTATCTCTTTCTATCAGAGGGAAGCCCTGCCCTATAAGGGGCGACAGGAGAAGAGGAAAGCCATTTTCAGGCCCACATCAACTCCCCGGTACTGTTAGAAAAACGGCATTCCTCTTCTGAAAATTTTTTTTCTTTTCTGTAAAAATCTCCTGTAGTCTCTAAGTAATGAAATGGAATTTCATTATCAGAATTTCTCATAACACACGCTTTGCTCTTTTCCTCCTGGAAACCTTGTCTGATTTGCCTCCACGTACGTCTCTGTCCTGAGACCAGCTTTCTGTGTGGTGTGCGCAAGCACCAGGTACGAGGCAGGGCGCTGCGGCTCCAGTGATGGCGTGACCGCTCTGCTGTGGCCGTTTGGCCCCGTGGGGTTGGTCTGCCGTCTCTGCTGCGAGTTGTTCCTTCTGAGTCCTGCTCCGTGTGGCCGGGGGCAGCAGGGCCCTTCTGCGGGTCTACCACCTCCCCAGCCTCACTGGGGTGACTGTGTGGAGCCCAGAGAGCTCACTGCGAGCAGGGCAGAAAAGAGCAGGTGGGGTCGGATTCTGTGCTGCTGTCCCCCCAAACCCCCCCCCCCAGGGTTAATCTTAGAATTCTTTGAACTTATTAATGTATTAAAAACCACTCCTATAACAACTCTCTGGCTGCACTGTAACAGCAGTGGTTTGCGTCAGTATATTGCTTTTGATGGAGATTTGTACCGTGTTCTGCTTTGCATTGGATAGTCTATCAAAGCAGAAAATAAGCTGGGACAACTTAAGGAACTAGAAAAAGAACAAGCTAAACCCAGAGCTACTGGGAAGAAGTAAATAATAAAGATTAGACAAGAGAAAATAGAGAATAGGAGGAAAACAGAAAATGGCAAGTGTTGGCAAGGATGTGAAGAAATTGGAACCATTGTGCACTGTTGATGGGAATGGAACATGGTTCAGCTTCTTTGGAAAGTAGATTTTTTTTTTTGGTCAGTTCCTCAAAGAGTTAAAAATACAATTACTGTATGATCCAGCAATTCCACTTCTAGGTGTGTACCCAAAAGAATTGAAAGCAGAGTCTTGGACAAATGTTTCTACATCCATGTTCTTGGCAGTGTTATTCAAAATAGTTAAAACATGGAAGCAGCCCAAGTATCGATCCACTAATGTATGAATAAGCAAAATGCAGTATACACATAAAATGGAATGTTAAGCCTTAAAAAAGGAAATTCTGCAGTATATACTGCAGTGTGGATGAACCTTGAGGACTTTATGCTAAGTGAAATAAGCCAGTCACAAAGAGAAAAGTAATATACAACTCCGTTTATACGAGGTACTACGCATAGCTAGTATTCTAAAGACAAAGCAGATGCTGGTTGCCAGGGGCTGAGGGGAGGAGAGGGTCAGGAGTTACTGCTTCATGGATATGAAATCTCAGTTTCACAAGACTGAGATAGCTGGAGTGAGGGTCGCCTAACAGTGTGAACGTATGTGGTATCACTGAGCTGCTTAATTAAAAATGGTTCGGGAAGTTCCCTGGTGCCGTGGTGAGGATTCCAGCCTTTCACTGCTACTGGATTCAATCCCTGATCAGGAAACTGGAAGCTGTGTGGGTGCAGCCAAAAAAAGGGGGTAAGATAGAAAATTCTGTGTATTTCACCACATTTTTTTTTAAAAGTCTTGAACATCAAGGCGCATTTTATAGATATGTGTTACAGAAATGGCTTAAGTGCAGCAGGATTTCTCCCTTCATATTACTGTTATCATTTCAAACATAGCTTTCTCTTTAATGGTCTCTCTTGCTTATGATCACAATGAAGGCTGGTGGAAAGGAATGAAGCAGTTTCTCCCTGCCAAGTCCGCGGAGCACGAGGAAACCCCAGTTCGCTACAGCAGCAGTGAGGTGAACCACCTGAGTCCGAGAGAAGTAACCGCCGTGCTGCAGGCTGACTCTGCAGGTAATTACGGCGCGGCCCGGGCCCAGGGAGGACCTGCGGTGCTTGCCGCAAGCGCTTTGGTGTTTACAGTGTTTATCTTTTTACATGTAGGAGATGAGCTGGTTTCCACATGTAGATCCACTTTTTTAAAAAGACCTCGAGAGAGTCATGTCTGTGTCTCAGATGTTCTATCCATAAAACTGGGGTATTCATTTCTAAAAACTTCGGGCATATGTCTGCTTATCTGGAATTTCATTTGGTTTTATTGGGAGTTTGAGGGTAGTAAAAGGAGAGCAGGAAAGACACAGTGGCCTCGGTATTTATCCTATTAACCCAGTGTATATTTTAAACATTTCCAAATATTTGAAAAAGAAAAACATGAAATTACATGAAATTATTTTCCAAGACCAATATTATTTCAGTAATGGACTATTTTCAAATGAAACAGTTATCCGTGAATCTGAAGAACACATACAGTCTTTATGTAGAATTCCATGATTGAAGCTTTCTGGCACATTGACACATTACCTTGAGATAACATCTTTAATTTTAATTTTTGAAGTTGATTCTTGCAGGAAAATCCATCCGTCTCCATGATAGCACAGGTGCCGTAAAGATGTGTGTTTTCAGGGTAAGCCTGTGGCATTAATGAGAGAACTTGTTTGTGTTTTGCGACACCCAGAGTATGCACAGCCACTTGTGGGAGGAATTGTGGGCCCCCTCCATCAGAGGTCTACCTTTAAACCCGAAGAAGGAAAAGAAGCAGGGTCTGCTGGCCTCGATCCTTACAGCTCCCCAGTGCCAGAAGTGTACCACGCCTATGCAGAGCCGCTGCCAGTGACTGGGCCTGAGTACGCAACCCCGATCGTCATGGACATGTCCGGGCACCCCTCGGCTGCAGCTGGCCTGCCCTCAACTTCCACTTTCAAAGTTGCAGGGAACCAACCGCCCCCCTCAGTGGGAACATACAACACTCTCCTCTCCAGGACCGACAGCTGCTCCTCGGCACAGGCCCAGTATGATACCCCGAAAGGCGGGAAGCCGGGCCCGAGCACCCCGGACGAGCTGGTGTACCAGGTGCCGCAGAGCACACAGGAGGTGTCAGAAGCAGGGAGGGAGGGTGGGTGTGATGTTTTTAAAGAAGTCCTTTGAAGGTGATGCTGCTTTTTACAAAGCATCATTTTAAAGCACATGGCCTTTTTTGTTGTTGTTGTATTAGTGGTAGAACGTATTACATATCTGTCACGGATGTGGTTGGGGGAAGTGTGATGACCGAGGTACAAAAAAACTACTAATCTTACCATCTTGCTTTAAAAGGGTTACTGTGGCACAGTTACTGCTTGCCTATGAAATTTCAAACATCTTGTTTGTTACTACTGTAAAACACTATTTTATACAGAAAAGGCTCCCTACTATGAACTTCAAAGAAATTTAAAATCACTGAGTATTTATTACCGATGCTGCAGGTACATTGATGAACTCGAGATGGCTCTGTAAGCCTTTCTGGCAATAACACATGGTACTGTTCTTAAAAATGTCTAATGGCTTGAAATTCAGCAATTTATGAAAGGTGGGTACTATTGTGATTTCTTTCTCTTCTATTCCTGTATTGCTTTCTGAATTTAAAAAATACATATTGATATAATCATTGTTTTGATTGCAGCATTATGTATTTATCCATCTTTCCTTAGGAAGAGCTGTAGCTGGGAAACTGACCTGTAGTGAGCAGAGTGATTTTTCACTTTCTGACACTCTAATGAACTTAAGCATCTCATAGTACATGACCTGGGCTCATCCCTTGCTTGTTCCACCTGGGGCCTTTGGCAGTCTGCCCCATTCTCATGCTTATAAATGCCTGGGTTTTTTTAGTGGGTGATGCTTGCTATATCAGTCTCATTAATTTAGATCCCCTAGTGTCTCCATGCAGAAACAGGAACAATTTTATAAATTTTAAATGCTATAAAGGAGATCCTCTGCTCCAAACTCTATTTGCAATGGAATTCTTCCTAGGAGAGTGTGAAAAGTTAAGGGCTTCTAAACAGGAACACTGTAAACAATACCCACTTAATATTTATCATCAACGTGAAAGGCAAAATTATTCCTCAGGAATTATATAAATTACCTCCCCTCCACAAAAGTAACCAAATTGCTTTGGTTTTATATACAGACTGTTCTTTGAATCTCAAGGTATTTATTGTTTTTAGTGAAATAAATGTTTTTCCACAGTAAGAAATGTAAACCCAGCATGTATTCTTCAGGTCTCTGATTATGCCATCTATGTGGTCGGGAGATGTGAGTAGTCTCGTATATCACTAGGGAACAGAGGGAACAAATGTTTTAGCATCCTAGCAAAGGAAAATTCCTGTCTTGCTTTTAATACCTCTGGGCAACTTCGGTCACCCAGAAGTAGTTTAAATGACCGAAAATAGAAGTCATCTGCAGTTCACTAGCCTTAGTGTAGAAACCATCTTTAGAAGTCTTTAGATTGTAAGATGATATGAGAAGCTAACCATATGATTAAAATATATGAATTTTACATCCCCTAGTTTATAGTTAATGTTGAAATGTACTTCCCCAGCAGGTTCTAGTCATTTCTTTTAGCCTGTACCGCCAGATGATGGCAGAATTTGCTAAAATTTGACCAACTATATAGTGTTCATTTTGCTTGCTTCCATGAGTCTTTCAGTATTGTAAAACGTTGCTCCAAAACAGAACTGCCAAATTCTACAGCCTCCCTGTGTTCTAGTTGTATGATTTTGTTGGTCTTATTTTCAGATGCTTTTCCTTTTTCCAACAGGCTTTTGAGGCATAATTTTATTCACTGAAAAGCCAATACACATTTTGTTTCAAAATATTTGAAACAAAAAGCACAGATGTTGAACTTTTATTAAAACAGGTATGAATGTGTAAAGCACATATATTAATGCAGTCATCCCCCTCCAGGTGGGAAGAGAGTAAACCAATTGCTTTATTTTTTTATTCATCCTTAGTATACAAAAATCTACTTTCTAAAATCATATGCCTATTTGAAGCTTTAAGAGAAATGAGTTCAGTAACTATTTCTTTTTTCCAAAGATGCTTGCTATTTTTAATTGTGTGTACCTGATTGTTTTCCCATAGAACTGTTTTTTTTTTGAACCAAATGTTTTCTTAAATAATGCATGTTTTAAGACTTGATTCATATATTGCCACTGTGCTGTCCCTGAACTACCAATAATTTTTACAAAATGTCTAGTTTTTAACTACTATTATATATTTTACTTTCCAAATGAAGAGCTGAGCCTGATACAAAAGGTTGTTCTGGTTTGTACTTTTTAATTCATTTTCATATTAGAGTTTTTTTTTTTTAACTTTACTATGTCTGATATATATACAGCTTTGGAGACAATCAAGTAACAACTGAAAATGTGAAGGTAACCATTTTTTACAAAATTCCCTTGATTTTTTTATTCTTTGCTTGAAACATGTAGGGAAAAAAAAGTCACTGTGACTTACTGGGTTAAATTTTTTCCTGTTAATGCAGTTATAAAAATAGAATCAGACCATGGCACAGGAAATATGGCCCTTAAGGTTTCATAAAATTACACTGACTTCACTGTTACTTGATTTTAGGAACCAGCACAGTTAAAGGTGAGATGTTGTGAATGCTGATTTATATTGTATTAAAAGCTGTAAATCTAGAGAGATCCTATTGTGTATGCAGGGTCTAGCCCAGTTATTTAAGTTCACGTTTCGCTATTTGCACTTTGCATTGAACAATGGGTTCATTTGCTGTTGAAATGGTTCGAGTAGAAGATTTATACAGTAATTGAAATTATGTTATGTACACATTTGCCCTTCTCCCTCCCACCCACAAGAGGGAGCAGAAAATGAGCTTATTTAAATATGAATGTGGCCATAATTCTGTGGAATGTAATAAAGCTTAAACCTCTTTCCCTGGGCTCCACATTGTTACCTGGAGAGCAAGAGGGTTATAGAAAAACACCATGTCAGATAATAGGATTAGAAAGAACAACTATATTAGGTGGGACAATAAAAGCTTTTCAACCCTCTTAAGAGAAATCAGTGAAGTTCTGTTTATTTTTTTAAAAAAAATTTACCTACTGGCTATGCCTTTTGGTTCTGAACTTGAAATCCCTAAACTGCAATATCTAAGAGTTGGATATTTTTAGGTCAACTGTGGCATCAGTTCTCATATAATCCAACTTGTAACTAGTTTCTTCTTCTCATCTCCTCCTCTTCTTTTTTGGCACTGGGAAAGGTAGAAACAAAACATATATTGAAATACTTATTGGAAATAAAAATGGCTTTGCGTGTCAGTGATATTCTCCCAGAATGTACTTTCCTTACCTCGGCATGTACTGTAGTCACTCAATATTTGTATATGTTGCTAGAATTTGATTGTATAAATAGTGAGATTTTAATGTGTTCGTGTGTTTTTAATAAATTGTATATATGTGTCTTGTTCCTTTTTTTTTTTTCTTAAACCTTGAGGTTTGTAACCATTCTCGTACTATACAAAACACCAGATTCCTCAATTTTAAGATCAGTCAGAAATGTTATGGCCAATGTTTATAGTGTTTACATTTGAGAACATTTGAAAATGCCACCATTAGTGTTTGACTTTTAACTTTTTCTGTAGACCGCACCATCCTCTCTGAAACCAGACTCAGCATCCAGAGTCTAGCTGTGGCCCCTGGCTGTGTGGTGTGAGGGAATGATCAGCTCTGCCTTTTCCACCCGAGTTATCGGAAGGATCAAACGAGAGTGGTATGTGGGAACACATGCTGGGGTTAACAGCACAGAGTCCATACCCAGCATGTGGGTCTGAGTTCAATCAACCACTAGTTTTCTCCCCCAAGGCCACTTGCAAGTATGTCATTTATTCCTGTTTCTGACCCAATATTTATACACTCTCTTTAGAGAGGCAGGTTGTCAGTGATAATTACTGTCTCCCAGTGATACCGATTCTTTCTATACATACCTCTTCTGACAGCTTTTGATTCTAGCCAAGTAACTTCTACTGCTCTCTTCACCCACTGTCCCCCTCCATCCCCGTAACCTTTGGTTATAGTCATTAAAGTAAAAAGGGAGACTGGCTCACCACTTTAGTCCACCTGGCTTGTCTGCATCCCACAAGTCTTTTCTGGCGCACCCTAGGTAAGCTTTCCATTTGAAGATGTGACTGACTCGTGGACAGCTGGTCTTGTCATGAAAGTGCCACTGAAATCCAGAAACAGCTCTACTCTTAAAGGTTTACTTGTTCTTGTCTTCTTTGTTTCTTGTCTTTTTTACTTTACTTCAAATAAGCTTCGGAAACATCATGAATTAATAAGCCAGGCAAAAAATACCGCTTAAAAATTTTCTTCTTGAGCTTGCCTACTTCAGCTTCTTTGTATAAACTTTATTTCTTTAAAATAATGAAATCACCAGATGTGAAGAATTGCAGTCTTTGGTTATTTACTTATCCAGAGTTTCGTGTTTATCCTGTTTCTTTTGACTTGAAAAAAAAAAAATCTTCATTCTACCAAACTACTGATCATAATCATGGTTTACTTAACTGCAGGAGAAAAATGCTTAATTCAGCCAGTATGATCTTAGATTTCCATAACCAGTCATGCTTCAGGTCTGGTTTAAGATTCCAGTCCGGCTCCTCAGGTATAACACCTGAAGTGGGTCCAGCACACTACATCAAGGAACTGCCGCACACCAGTTCCTACCAGTTTACACTAGCCAGATGAACCTCTCAAAATGTCCTGTTACATTCAAAATTTGTCGTAGTAAACTTAAACCCCCTTACTTACTAGGAAGTCACAGCCCTTCAGAAGTCTAAGATGAACTAACTATAGTTAAAAACACCTCAGAAAACTAGCTTATTTTTAAACAATGCAATGAAAATGAACTTTCCCTGATATCTTAATGTCTTGGTTTCCATAAATTAAATATATTCACAGAAATTAAGCTGGTGGTTATGAATCACCAGCCAGCAAGAGACTTAATACACATAATTTCTTGACAAGTACATCCAACATATTTAAAAATAAACTAAAAATTGCAGTATAAAAATAAAAATACTGTTAGCATTATCTTCTGAGTCTGTAGGGTTACTGTTGGGTCAAGTCGGTTACAAAGTTTTTTTCTATAATGTCCTTCAGAAAGAGCTGCTCCGCAGTGACATTGTGATATTCATTCTAAAGAAGAAAAACAAAAGTCACCGTCTGTCCCAATCTGAAGATATCAACAGCGGCAGCAATGGAATATGCTATATCAAAAAAAAAAACTCAAGTAACAAGTGACATGGACTTGAACTTTTTTTACCTGATTGTTTTTCGTTTCTCATTCTTTTGCCAGAGCCCTCCCTAAAAGCCCACTCTTTCCACTTAAACCATCAGTTAAGTAAGAGGTTCCCTCACATCACCACCTGGTCTACTGAATTATGGTGTAAATCTAGAAACCAAAATTGACAACACCTAACCTGAATAATTCCACCTGTTCAGCTTACATAGTATTTAGGGATGAGGATTTAAGGGGACTGGTTTCATTTCATGGGATATAGCCATATACTTAACAATAAATCACTGTTCAATGTTAAAATGTACATGTAATATTTTAACTCCTATCACTGTGCCACTAATCTAAGTTATTAGGAAAGTAGGAAATTCGTTCCCATTCACAGTAAAAATTTAAGGATCAAATCTACCATTATTAATCCCCATTCAAGAGAAAAATGATCTGGTATAAAAGTTTCCAACTTTTCTGACCATGAAGATTCTTTCATGAGGTTAAAAAGTTACAGACCTTCCCATCTTAACTGAAAAACTCCATGAAAAGAATTAGTATGATCATGGCCATGCTTTTGGGTGAATCTGTCATATCTCAAACAACAGGTTTCGAATATCTTTTCAAGCAGTGCATCAAATACAGCATCTAAGGTAAGGTTTGGTTCCTATGTAGGTTTGATAAGATTCTTCCAAGGGTCTGAGGCCAACAGATTGGGAGCTGCTGCTGTAGTAAGAACTCTGGACCCCACTCCTAATTTCAGCACATGCTATCTCTGTAAACCCTTATTAAGCCATCAACCTCTCAAAACCTGTTCCCTCAGTAAAATGACAGGGTGAAATGGCAGAATATATAAGCTTACCTCAGTCATCAAAGACATGGTGGCATTCCCATAGTAGTGCAAAGGACTCTTGAGGTCAGAAAAGTTGTACTTAAAGCCAGCAAGATGAACTTCATGACATATGTGAAATGCCAAGGTAATGGCAATAATGCCTGTGGTTGGGTGTTTGGGTTTCTGGGGGAGGAAATGAAAATTTAGGAGAAAAAGTCCACACAAGGTACTTGTTTTCAAAGCCTATTTGGGTGATCCATCTTACAGCATCTTCTGAGCATTGCATCAAGACAAAAACTTAAGTTCAACCTTCATCATGCCCCAAGGCTCGAGTGCCAAGTTAACATCCTAATTCTATAAAGCGTTGGTTGTAATCTTAGAAAGTCTTTCAAGTAAAACCTAACTGCAGCACTAGTTCAGAAGACAACTATCAGATGAAGCCTTGAGGAAAAGGATGCTGCCGCCTTGTTTAAAAAACACATCGAGTCTGGCAACTTGTGAAAAGCAAAGCCTGAGAATATTAAACCCATGTGTGAAACGCCAGAACCGCTTAATTCACTAACAGATAGAACCATGCTCAGTCGCGTCCAGCTCTTTGCGACCCCGTGAATCACAGCGCGCCAGGCCTCCCTGTCCATCACCTAAAAGGCTTCGAATCATTTAGCCAGACAATAGTTCAGTTTCATAATGCTGATAATTCAGCTCTAGGGACAGATGGCTTTAATCGAGTCACTTCAATAACAAACTGCCAAGGTGAGGATCTAACTAGAAAATGAAGATTCCAGATGTTTACACATAGTAACGTCACACTTGGTTTTGTTTTTAAATTGATAAATCTAAATTTTAACAACAAGAAACCAAGCATCCCCTTCACATGTACATATATCCTAAAAAGTCCTATCACAGATGTCTGACTTAAGGGTCTTGGCATTCTAAGCTTTAATTCTCATAGGATAACCTTCAAAAGCAAAAGCAAAATACATCTTGTTTTTTTTTTTAACACAAAAATTCAAGGAGATTTTCTTTTGATTAAATGTTAACTACAGATCCCATGGAAATTACATATGATTAATTATGGTTTCAAGAAAAATCAGAGCAGCATAATAAAATCAGGTAAACTCCAGGAAGCAAATTTGTCTGAAAGCCTAACAGCCTTCTACCTAAGTTTTTCTTTACCCCTCACACAACTGTGACTCCACCACAGCTTCTCCATCTGCTGTGAAAGGAAGTTAATGGTTGGGTTAAAAACCTAGGAGTCATCCCAGCTCACTGATGACATCACATTTCAAGTTCTCTCTTTCCTTTCTTCACACCTTAGAGTTTTCCATTCACCATTATAGGCATTCCCTTATAGAGGCCTTCAATTTCCTTTGGCACCCACCACCCACAGAACCTATATTGTCCCTGACAGAATCTTAACCCTGGTTAAGGTCAGAGAAAACGGCATACTTGACTGGTCACAGATTACATTTGTGACCATCTCAAGTGGGCATTCAGTCACGTCCAACAACCCAGTTACACTCCCCTAGTAAACTTCCATTTCTACTCTGTAAGATGGCAATCTCATACCTTTCTATCCAATAGCTCTACCTTCCTTCCTACTTTAAATTGTCAGTTTAATCCTCATTTTTCTTAGAAAACAGAATCACTCAGACAAGAGCTACATCACCTTCCCAATTCCAAATCTCCCTTTGTCTTTACCCATATTTCCAGTGTTCACTCCTATGTGGATGAGCTGTCCCTGTTTCTCCCGATAGCCAGCCTCTCCATTCATGCACTCCATTGTCCCTGTCTTTTTTCTCAACAATTTTGCTTCTACAAGTATCCCCTTTCTCTCATCATCAGTATTTCCCTCTAATGAATCATCCCTTCAGCATACAAACACATCTACCTAAAAAGCCATGACAACAAAAAAAAACCCTTCCTTGAGCCTATGTCTTCCAGCCATTCCTCTGCTTTCTTTTCTAGCAAAACTCCATTGAAGATTTGCCTCCATTCACTCATGTCCCACGTTCTTTCTCTGTAACCCAATTCAGTCGGGCTTTCTTCCTCTTTCTATACGTGTCCCTAACAGTGTGACCTCTGTCCAGGACGGCATCTGACACAGTTGACCTCTGAAATACAGCTGTGTCCCTCACTTGGCTTCTAGGACACTGCCCTAGTGGAATTTTAGTGCACTTAAAACTAGTTCTAGTACCATCTCTAAGTAAGACCAGAGGCTTCCTGTGTACTACCTAAAGCAAAAATCAAGGGATAAATCTGATCTTACCTCACTTAGGAAAGTAAGAGCTGAAAATTCACAAAATATACATTCAGAAGCTGTCCTTTCCCCTCAAAATTAGCAAGACAGGACTTAATATTTATGCTTTTTTGACTTCGCGATTCCACTTCCAGGTGTCTTTCCTACAGAAATCACACAAGTGTGCAGAAAATCCCTATAAGCACATGCATTCTACATTACGTATAGAGGAAAAAAAGCTGGCTATAAAACTAAAGGTCTATAAATAGGGGAAGAGTTAACTAGAGAGGAGAAACAGCAGAACAATATAATCACAAATTACACTCAACAAAAGTGCTTGTGTTTGTAACTGCATAGACAAAAGTTGATGCAAACAATAAGTGCTGGAGAGGATGTGGAGAAAAGGGAACCGTACCTTTGGTGGGAATGTAAATTGATACAGCTACTGTGGAGAAGGAGTATGCAGATTACTTAAAAAACGAAAAACAGAACTACCATATAACCCAGCAATCTCACTCCTGGGTGTATACCTAGAGAAAACCATAGTTCAAAAAGAATACATGTACCTCAATGTTCATTGAAGCACTATTTAAAATATCCAGGACATGGAAGCAGCCTAGATGTCCACTGACAGAAACGGATAAAGAAGATGTGGTACATACAGACAGTGGAATATTATTCAGCTGTAAAAGGGAATGAAATAGTGCCCTTTGCAGACATGGATGGACCTAGAGACTATCATACAGACGAAGTTGAAAGAAAAATATTGCTTGTATGTAGACTCTGGAAAAATGGTACAGATGAACTTATACAGAAATAGAGACACAGATAAACTTATAGATGCCAAGGAGAGAGGAGGGATGGGATGAATGGAGAGATCGGGATTGACAGGTATACTCTAGTGGCACGATGTATAGCAGAGACAACGAATGAGCAACCTACTGGACAACGCAGGCAACTCTACCCAATGCCCTGTGGGACCTACAGGAGAAGGCGGTCTAAGGAAGGGATGTCGGGACACGTCTAAGTGATTCACTTTGCCGTACAGCAGAAACGAACACAACATCAGAAAGCAACTATACTCCAATAAAATTAAATGGCATTTGTGTTTGTAAATGCACAGACAAGCATCTAGAAGGATATAAAATGCAAAAGAGCTTGGGAGATGATCTGAATTATACAGAGAAAAAGAGGATGATTTCCTTTAAAAAAAAAATATTCCTTTGTAAAAGCTGTTTAAGCATGTACTATTTCAGAATTTTTTTATTGTGCTCATGAAAAGGTACAAAATACAAGTTTATTTCTTTGGATTTTTCCCAGTTACAAAAACGAAAGCTCCTTTCAGCTGAGATATCACATTACACATTTACTCAAGCTCCAAATGAAAAATACAACCTGTCACTGTATGGATCTAAACTACCTTTTTCCTAGGGAATGTAGACAAACAGGGCTACAAGAGTCAAAGTCAATGAGATTCCTTGTAATTAAAAAGAATTAGAGAATCCTGCTGTCTGCACACAGCCTGCCCGTCACCGCTACACACCCCCTCCCCCTTCCCCCATCAATACTCTCCTCCCTGCAGAGCAGTGAAGAGGAGGCGATGAGAGATGGGCCACTTGGACATCTAAAAGGAGACCCCAGAAGGGCCCTGCAAGGGCAAGAAAAACACTACACTTAAAAGGTTGTTTTCCTTGCAACCTGAAAAACATGCAGATAAAATCCACAGATAACCTAATCTCACTAACTCAGATGTGGCCCTCAGAAGTCACCTCACGAGTCATGGTTCTCACCCAGTTTCTAAGACTCCCAGGAACCCCTCTATTCCACCCCAGTAAGGTCTTTAGTTTGAAACTGTGTGAAGGAAAATACATACCTCATTTTTGGGAAACACTTTCGGGAAATGAAGCAGTTCATAAGCTGCCATTCTGGTGATGTAAGGATCTAATATTCTGATTTGATAAGGTTTATAGATCAGATTTAAAGCTGGTTTCTTCCAAAAACCATTAGGGTTCTGAAATAAATTAAGAATATAGAAAATACAACTTCTTGTTGTTTTTTTAAAAAATATTTAAAAAACTGAAGGAAATCAGAAAACAGATCGATTTTGCCAACTTACTATTTTGCCACCTGTCAACAATTCCCACAGCCACTTTAAATCAAGAGGCTTAAAAGCAGTGAGAATCACCGTAGTATTAGGGTCATTGTGATCAGGATCTGAAAAAACAGATTCTGGATAAAAAAGTCGGAAGGTAGTCCTTCTTCCAACTTCCTCTTCATGTCCTAAAACAGGACCATTATTCATTCTGTGGGTAGTAAACACACAAGACATGTAGACCAAGAGCAGTCAGGGTCATTTCCATCACAGTTCTCAGAGATTTCAGAGCCAGACAAACGTTGTCAGCCACGTAGCTGGGCTCTAAAGCCATGTGGCAATCCATCAAGTCTTTCACAGCCAAGGAAATAACTCCCCTTCCTGAAACAGCTGCTTGATCAAAGGCAGAAACATGTGTGTTTGAAAATTAACTGTGGGGCCACCAATAGTTCATTCTTACCTCCAGAAAAACTGAAGACAAAATGAAACAAATGGGAACATAAAACCCCAGAATACTCAAAACAGACCTTGGAGGACATCTCGATAAAACCCCGTGTGCTTGTAGATAAGGGCCCTGATGTCCATAGAGATAAAGTTACTTGCCCAAGGTTACACCATCATGGAACACACGGATGTGTGCCTAAGTGACTAACAGGCAAGAGTCAAGCTGATTTGAAGACCCATCAAAATTGATGCGCTCTGAAGTAAAGAAACAACAAAACTGCTATATTTATACCTAGGCATAACCAAGAGTAACTATTGCTGGGATGAATGAAAGAACCACAAATGATCCAGTGTTGGATTTGCAGATGCTCAAAATAAGCCAAGGTTAGACGTGCACTATTTATGCACACACCATGAAGGTGTGCTATGAAAAGGAATGCTTTGTTGCCAAAATAGTGTCCCCTAGGAGACAAATACTGTTTGACCCTATGGCACTGTGTAATATAGAGCAGCCTTAATAACACCTGAAATGACTTTCATAATGTCTTGCCAGGGGCATTTTCCCACAAGGGCCCGGTGTGGTTCTAGGGAACCAGATTTTACACCATTACAAAGAAATCTGTGAGTGCTTGAACAGTTTTGTGGATAAATCTTCACAGCTTCCTCAACACGGATAACCGCCAGAAAATGCGGTGACCATACTGTGCAGAAACCCTTGGCAACTTGTAACCCAGCAAAATGCCCAAGCACTGCCAGGCCATCCTAATGCATCGCCCAGCAGGAAGTTTCCCCGCTCTTCAGAAGACTGTCCACAGCCATTCCCAACACATACACACTTTATGACCCACCACTCAGTCTATGGGACTCTTGGTAGCTGTGACCACAACCCCAACTTTCCCTTCCCCTGCAGAGATAACCACACTGTGCTCCGGGCCCCATGCCCTCTCTCATTACCATGCCAATCTCTTTATTCATTTCCATCAGTTTACTAATGTTTTAGAATCTCCTATCTTTATAAAAGGGAACAAAACAGAAAATCTCCTTTAGGAGTCCAGAATTATCTCCAGTGACCATCATGTCTCAACTCCACAGTGAAATTTCTCCAAAGAGTGGTTTATACTAGTTTACTAGTTTCTCTGCTTTCTCACCTGTTATTCCCTCAAACCGCTCCACTTGCCCAAGGTTACACCATCATGGAGCCTCCAAGTCTTCTGTCAAGAGTATCAGTGAGTTTCAACTTGCCAGTCCAATGTGAACTCTCCCCATCTTACAGGACCTCCAACCAGCATCTGTCATGGTTGAAACCTCCCTGTCTTACAACACTGTGCTGGCTTGGCGTTTATGATCACCTTTTCCTGACTTTCTTCCTACTTCGGCGGCAGATCCTCTCCAACTCCTTTCTCTTTGCACAACCTTTAACTTTTAAGTACTTCAAAGCTCAGTCCTGTTAACCTCTTTAACTGCCTACTTGATTTATATACTATAAATCTAATAAGCATCTCAAACATGGTTATGTTCATACCAAAATCTTGATTCTCCCCTAAACCTGTTCCTACCCTAATCTTCCCCAACTCAATGAATGGTATCCCTATCCAGCCAGTCTATTAAGCTGAAAACCTGGAAGAATCCTGTATTCCTTTATTCCCACCTCTGCTCACATCTAATAAAAAGCAAATCCTGATAACTGTAACTCTAATACATGCCTCAATCTAGTCCCTATCTCTGTCTCTGCCATGACAATCCTATTGCAAGCCACCATTCTCTACCCAAATGCAGCAAGCTGACTGGACTCTCCATTTCCACCCTTGTCCTTCATGTTTCGTTGTCCATACCAGCACCAGGGTATTTTAAAGATAAAACCAGGGCTTCCCTGGTGGTCCAGTGGTTAAGAATCTGCCTGCCAATGCAGCAGACACGGGTTTGGTCCCTGCTCTGGGAAGATCCCACATGCCATGAGGCAACTAAGCCCGTGCGTCCCAACTGCTGAACCTGCACACGTTAGAGCCTGTGCTCCACAACAAGAGAAGCCGTCTCAACGAGAAACCCGTGCAGCGCAGCTGGAGGGTCGCCCCTGCTCACTGCAACTAGAGAAAGCCTGCATGTAGCAACAAGGACCCAGTGCAGTCATAAATAAGTTTTATTTAAAAAAAGACATAATCAGAGTTGCATTCTTGTTGAATGATTTTCAAAACTTTTCTGTTATACTTAAAACACGAGCCCAAATCCTAGTTGACAAAATCCTACAAAGCCCACTCCTTAACAACATCTTCAGCTGTCGATTGCACCCCTCTCCCCAGTCTGCTGCCCTCCAACCTCACTGGTTTTCTTTTTGCTTCTCTCAAACCCAGCATCATACCTTCCAGAGGACCTTCAGTCAACATTTTCTCTGCCTGCATTGCTCTTCCCTAGTCTTCATATGGCCAGTACTGTGTGGTCACTTAGGTCCAGTTTAAGATGTCTCTGCCTTAGCATTGCCATCCATTCAAAAACAGCCATTCATTCATTCTTGATGATTTAATTATTTTGATTGTTTACCTGACATTTATTGTATTTCTTTTCTTAATTACTGTTTTCTTCTTCCCATTAGAATGTAAGCTCCACAGGCAGAAAGAACATTATTCTTATTCACTGCAATAGCCCCTGGGGTTAGAACTGTGCCCAGAATGTTCAGGGTATTTCATAAATATTTGCTAAATGAATGACCCGAAATGTAAGTCTACTCCAGCCAACAACTTGAGTAATATGTAACATACTTAAATATACTAAAGCAACTCCACTTCCTTTTAAAAATGGTCATACTAAAGCAGGAAACTATGTTCTTTTAAAACAGTTCCATGTTAGCAAATAGAAAACATATTTACCTTATTATTATATCATATGAGTCAATTTTTTCTCCTAATGTCTTATTCTTCAAAATTCCTCCATTACCAACCACCACACACTTCTTACAAGGCACACTGTTGAACAAATAGACAAGTGAGAGATTGAGACATCTTTTACAAAACTGGCTGATTCCAACAACCTGTTCATACTTTGAGGAACCCAGAAAAAAGAATCAATTGTAACTCATAGGTCTAGGGATATAGTAAGACTCAAGAAATCATGTTCCATAGGAACTATATCATTGTTAGCAACTATTAATGCTTATCAGTTCATATACATCCCCTCATTATGCTTCTCCTAACCACCATGGAGATAAGTAAGCCTGATATTTCGTTTTTACAGAAGAAAAGATATTAAAAAATGTTAGGTAACATTTCAAAGTCATACTGCAAAGAGGTAGAACTAGGATTGAGTCCAGACCTCTGGACTACAAAGATACCCCTCAACATAAGATTCTCCATGTTAATATTGATACAAGTGGGTTCTATACTAGATGTGTATGTATTTTCCATCAGTGTCAGCCATTCCCCTGAGATTCCAGCTTTGAGTTATGGCTATGTATTGTAAGTGTCAAGACAGACAGTATAGAACCTGGCGGGCAAAGTGCGGCTTCTTTGTACCTGCCCATGCGCACTTCAATTCCCCAAACAGGTACTAGTCCTTAAAGTTTAGCCAGTATACAAATGAAAAGTTTACTCTGTATTCCTGCCAAAGAGCTTTAAAGTAGGACATGAAGTGGAACTTCCTGTTGCTGGCCGGAATCAGCCTCAGCCAGCGGATTATCTATTGTTCAGCTCTCAGCCAACAGGACCTGGCCTTCAACATAATAAAGGCCATATATGACAAACCCACAGCAAATGTCATTCTCAATGGTAGAAAGGAAAAACTGAAAACGCTTCCTCTAGGATCAGGAACAAGACAAGGATGTCCACACAAAGCTATTTAATATAGCTTTGGAAGTCCTAGCCACAGAAATCAGAGAAGAAAAAGAAATAAAAGGACTGTAAATTGAAAAAGAAGTAAAACTTTCACTGCTTACAGATGACATGACACTATACATAGAAAATCCTAAAGATCTACCAAAAAACTACTAGAGCTCATTAATGAATTTGATCAAGTTGAAAGATACAAGATTAACATTCAGAAAATCTCTTGCATTTCTATACACTAACAATGAAAGATCAGAGAAGAGACATTAAAGGAAAAAAATCCCATTTACCATCACATCAAAAAGAATAAATTACCTAGGAATAAACCTACCTAAGGAAATAAAGACCTGTACCCAGAAAACTACAAGATTCCGATAAAGGAAACCAAAGATGACACACACAGATGAATATGCCATGTTCTTGGATTGGAAGAATCAATATTGTGAAAATGCCTATACTACCCAAAGTAATCTACAGATTCAGTGCAGTCCCTATCAAATTACCAATAGCATTTTTCACAGAATTATGACAAAAATTTTTTACAATTTGTATGGAAACATAAAAGACCTTGAATAGCTAAAGCCATCTTTTTAAAAAATATATTTATTTTAATTGGAGGGTAATTACAATATTTTGATGGTTGTTGCCATACATCAACATAAATCAGCCATGGATATACATGTGGCCTCTATCATGAGCTCCCCTCCACTCTCCCTCCCCAGCCTATCCCGCTGGGTTGTCCCAGAGCACTGGCTTTGGGTGCCCTGCTTTATGCATCAAACCTGCACTGGTCATGCATTTTACATATGTTAATATACATGTTTCAACGCTATTCTCTCAGGTCATCCCACTCTCACCTTCTCCCACAGAATCCAAAAGTCTGTTCTTTACATCCGTGTCTCTTTTGCTGCCTTGCATGTTGGATCAGCATTATTGTCTTTCTAAATTCCATATATATGCATTAATATACAGTATTTGTTTTTCTCTTTCTGACTTACTTCACTCTGTATAGGCTCCAGTTTCATCCACCTCATTAGAACTGACTCAAATGTATTCCTTCTTACAGCTGAGTAATACTCCGTTGTGTATATGCACCACAACTTCCTTATCCACTCATCTGCCAATGGACATCTAGGTTGCTTCCATGTACCAGCTATAGTAAACAGTACTACAGTGAACATTGGAGTACGTGTGTCTCTTTCAATTCTGGTTTCCTCGGGGTATACGTCCAGGGGTGGGATTGCTGGGTCATATGGCAGTTCTATTCTCAGCTTTTTAAGGAATCTCCACACTGTTCTCCATAGTGGCTGAACCAGTTTGCATTCCCAGCAACAGTGTAAGAATGTTCCCTTTTCTCCACATCCTCTCCAGCATTTATTGATTGTAGACTTTTTGATGACAGCCATTCTGACCAGCATGAAAACTGTGGTTCTGATTTGCATTTCTCTAATAATGAGTGATGTTGAGCATCTTTTCATGTGCTTTTCATGTGGAGGTTGATTCCTCCAGTTTCATTCTTTTTTCTCAAGATAGCCAAAGCAATATTGAGAAAGAAAAATAAGAGCTGCAGAAATCAGGCTCCCTGACTTCAGACTATACTAAAAAGCTACAGTAACCAAAAAACCAAAACAGTATGGTATTGGCACAAAAACAGAAATATAGGCCAATGAAACAGTATAGAAGGTCCAGAGATAAACCCACGCACCTGTAGTCAGCTAATCTATCACAAAGAAGAAATAAGCGGTATAGAGAAAACAGGACAGCTACATGTAAGATAATAAAATTAGAATATTTCCTAACACCATACATAAAAATAAACTCAAAATGGATTAAAGACCTAATTGTAAGACCCAGTACTATAAAATTTTTAGAGGAAAACATAGGCAAAGCATTCATCGACATAAATCACAGTAATATCTTTTTTGATCCACCTCCTAAAGTAATGAAAACAAAAACAAACAAACGGGACCTAATTAAAATTTAAAGTTTTTGCACAGCAAATAAACCATGAAGAAAACAAAAAGAAGGATTAACCTCCAAAATATACAAACAGTTCATGCAACCCAATATCAAAAAACAAACAAACAAAAAACCAATCAAACAATGGGCAAAAGACTTAAACAGACATTTCCCCAAAGAGGACATACAGATAGCAAACAGTCACATGAGATACTAAACATCACTAATTATTAGAGAAAGGATGGGAGCAACAATGAGGAATCACCTCACACCAGCCACAATGGCCATCATCAAAATATCTACAAACAGCGAATGCTGGAGAGGATATGGACAAAAGGGAACCCTCTTACTCTGTTGTGGGAATGTAAATTGGTACATGCTATGGAGAACAGTATGGCGGTTTCTTAAAAAACTAAAAATAGAGCTACTGTTATGATTCAGCAACCCCACTCTTGGGCATATATCTGGAGAAAACCATAGTTTGAAAAGATACATGCAGCCCAATGTTCACTGCAGCACCATTTACAAGAGCCAGGATGTGGAAGCAACTTAAATGTCCATCAACAGTGAAATGGATGAAGACAATATGGTGCATATATACAATGGAATTTTAGTTAACCAAAAAAATAATAATAATAATTCCATTTGTGGCAACAGGGAGGGACCTAGAAATTGTCTCTGAGTGAAGTAAGTCCCTGTAAGACAAATATCAGATGACAGCACTCATATATGAAAGCTAAAGAAATGGTACAAATGAACCTATTTACAAAACAGAAATAGAGCCACAGATGTAGAAAACCAACTATGGACAGAAGGGGGAAGCAATACTGGGAGCAAGAGAGTCAGACATGACTTAGAGACTGACCACCACCATGTATAACCACTAGGGGCATCCCGCACAGCACAGGGAACTCAACTCAACACTCTGCTAAGAACAGAGGATATCTGGTGAACGGATTCAACTCACAACATGCTCCATCAACTACACTCCAGCAAAAAACTAATTAAAAACAAACCGACAAAAACAAAACATGGCCTGGCCCAATCCAGCTCCAAGCACTCACCACCACGCAGCTAGGCCTACAGAAATAACAAAAGATAACTTCCTTCTTCTCCCAGGGGCAAAGCTACAGAGGGTAAGGCTGTTGAGATTGTCCTTGCAGGGCCCTCATGACGTGGGAATAGGAGGAAAAAACTGTTTCTCCAAGAACCATGAGATCAGCAGACCAGATGAATTCCAGATCCTAAGGGCTTTAGGAAACTAATGAGTAGCAAAATTGCACAGAATTCTTAAGCACAGAGAACACAGCACTACAGGATCCACTGAAAGGTGCCAGGCATTGGCCCTGTTGGGTTAAGAAGAGACAAGATACACATTCCTATACATGTGAATGTACCTTTTTAGTTCATCTATTTATATTTGATGGTTTTACACCTTAAACTTTCTAGAGATGTTTCTCTTCTAAAGCTGCTTGCCTTTAACTATGAAAGTAACACTTCTAGTCGCTCTAATATACAAGTTTGACATAAACCCCAATCCCAGGAAACCACTCTGTCCGCCGCACTCTGCAGCCAGGTGGCCTGGGAGAAGACGGGATTGCTCACTGGTCAACCCTGTCCTCTCTGGGTCTGTGACCCTGATCATCCTCCCCGGCAGATCTAGCCCGTGAGGGCTCCATGGCAGGGAGCAGCTCCTACACTCACAGCCTGCATGGCTTTCCCTTCCATAACCTCAGGGACAGTAATGCAAGTGAGATGCTGAAACTCCACACACTGGCTTCACCTCCCCATCAGAACCCTAAGCAAGGCTGGGCAGCGGGGAGGGAGTGGCTAGGAACGGACAGGATGGGAAAAACAGCTCCGTTCCTACGAGGTCACCTGTGTAGAGGTGAAGGAGGAATATCTATCATTTATGGCATCTAGACTAACCCTCTTCAAAGAAGGCTGCAGGCCACTCCCTTCCCCAGTCATTTCTTCTACCCAATCTTCTCAGCCTCTTCCCACTTGGGAAAAATGGAAAGAAATCATGGACACTGCCTCACCCAAGAGAACTCCAGTTCCAAAGACGCTTTATACTGCCAAGGTCACACATTTTAGAAATCTCACTGTTTTCTTCTCTGTTGGCTTTGCAGAGGGCAGGTGAAATGGGGAAGGTCCTTCACCATGGGAAAAGTTTACTGATGTCT